CATGTGTGTATTATTCAGGGAAAAAAATTTTATTATTTATAAAAGAAAAATTTAATTTAATTTATATTTTTCTTCTCTTTAAAAAACGATGAGACGGCGGAAACATCAACAGCAACAACAACAAATAATTTATTAAACTTTACAGCGTGTTTACAGTTTCAAAGGTACATAACCTCAACTATTTCGTGAGCATGAGATCACGCACAATTTTTTTTTTCATTTTCAACTCGGCGACAGTTGACAACACCATGCGTGCGCAACCAACTCCAACCGACTTGGACTTGCCAAACGGAGCTATTGTAGAAGCTCCTTAATATGTGCAAAAGCCAAGTGCAAGTCCATGAAAACCATAATTGCAAGAGAGACTATCTGTCTCTCTTGCACTCATGGGATTTGCCTTTGGACTTGCACTTGCTTTTTGCAGCTATTCTGGAACCGCCTTGGAGTTTAAAGTTGATTCTACAATAAGCGCGTCGGAAGTGGACGCGACGTGAACGTGCTGAAGTCACCCATTTGAATAAAGTCGGTTCTCCAATGGGCACGTTTGTAAGCGAACGTGAACGTGTACGTGCTAACGTCACAATGTTGTGCAAGTGGGTAACGTCAGCACGGTACGTACACGTTCACGTACAAACGTGTCCATTGTAGAACCGTCTTAACATTGTGACGTTAGCACGTTCACGTCCGACGCGCTTATTGTAGAACCAATTTAAGGCCTTTCTCCAATAGGATCCTAAACTCTTGCGTTGCGTATGCATTGCGTCGGTTGCTATTGGCAACCAATGCTAAAATCAACGCGTCAGTTACGCAACGCAAAAGTTTAAGGTGCTTATATACCTCAAATTTCGATCAGATGAACATTATTTCTGGACCGTGAAAATGCGTGAAAAGTCATTTTCACGGCGGGTATTTTTGAATTGTTTTAAACAAAAAATGTTTTTTTTAAGAAATATAATATTAAATAATTGTTTTAATATGTAAGAACACTTTTAAATAGTGATAAAAAGATGATTTGATTGAAAAATTTAGCAAATTTTGCTTTAAAACGTTTCTGCTACAAGAAAGTGTAAAATGACGATGTTTGTGAAATGGTTTGTACAGTGTACATGTGTACATGTTTCTTTCAGTTATTCGAAACAATTAGTTGAATTTAAATTTATTTGATAAACATTTCAACTTACCGATTTATTTTCAGCACTCATTATTTATTATAAGTTAAAAAGAACCGACATAACATAAACAAAACTCTGAGAGATACTAACAAGGAAGAAGCACTGTACAAACCATTTCACAAACATCGTCATTTTACACTTTCTTGTAGCAGAAAACGTTTTAAGGCCAGGTCCAAGTGAGGCAGCGCCATCTACATTGATACTAAAATTTTGGAAAATTTTCAACAGTCTTTTCTTGAAAACAAGATGGTAAAATGCTTTTTCCTTTATAGATAATTGATTATTGGCAAGATATACACCAGCTAAAACTTTTTTTGAGTTAAAATAATAAAAAAAAATTCATGTCAATAAATTAAATATGAGCACTTTTTTCACAAAAACTGTAACAGTACTTTCTCAGAAATTACAATCAAAAATGCAATTTCCATTAGGAAAATTAATAAACGCTAAAAAATACACGACCTAAGATTTACCAATCACGAAAATAAGAAAAAAAAATTTTATTAAATATTTAACATATTGATACTGATTTACTGATTGTGACAGCCCTTTGGTAGATTATGTATTTCAGGTGGTTAGCAACAGCGCCAATCTCCTCCTTTCGGCAAAACTGCGAAACGTCTGGTGACATATATAACCTGCCAAACGGCTGTCATAATGAGTAAAATATGTTATGTTAAAATACTTTTTTTTTTGTTATTTTCGTGATTGGTAAATCTTAGGTGGTGTATTTTTTAGCGTTTATTAATTTTCCAAATGGAAATTGCATTTTTGATTGTAATTTCTGAGAAAGTACTGTTACAGTTTTTGTGAAAAAAGTGCTCATATTTAATTTATTGACATGAAATTTTTTTTATTATTTTAACTCAAAAAAAGTTTTAGCTGGTGTATATCTTGCCAATAATCAATTATCTATAAAGGAAAAAGCATTTTACCATCTTGTTCTCAAGAAAAGGCTGTTAAAAATTTTCCAAAATTTTAGTTTCAATGTAGATGGCGCTGCCTCACTTGGACCTGGCCTTAAAGCAAAATTTGCTAAATTTTTTAATCAAATCATCTCTCTATCATTATTTTAAAGTGTTCTTACATACTAAAACAATTATTTAATATTATATTTCTTAAAAAAACATTTTTTGTATAAAACAATTCAAAAATACCCGCCGTGAAAATGACTTTTCACACATTTTCACGGTCCAGAAATAATGTTCATCTGATCGAAATTTGAGGTATATAAGCACCTTTAGGTTCCTATTGGAGAAAGGCCTTGAAGGGTCATTCACAAATATGACAATTTCGTTGGATCCTGTTGCAGTCTATTTCGTCAGTGCTTTTCATTTAAAGTATAATTTCATTCGGGCAAGTCCGTTTAATGTTTTTGAATAAAAATGAATTTGTTATTTTTTAATTAAAAATACATGTAAAAGATTACATTTCAGTGTAAACAAATGATATTGAGATCTTTATTAATCTTAAATATTCATAAAAATATACTTTTGATTTTAAAAAATAAAATCCTCTTCATGTATTTTAAATTAAAAAATGACAACATAACCAAAAAATCTTATTTTTATTCTAAACTAAGAAAAAACTTCCGCTTAATTCTTAGTGGAATCCTTAGTTTAATAATATGTATATTTACGTTTGGAAGGAGTATTTATGTGTGAACTATAAAAATTTTGTTCGATGACATTTACTAATATGCTAATATTACTAATATCTTAAGGTGCTTTTATACCTCAAATTTCGATCGGATGAACATTATTTCTGGACCGTGAAAATGCGTGAAAAGTCATTTTCACGGCGGGTATTTTTGAATTGTTTTAAACAAAAAATGTTTTTTTAAGAAATATAATATTAAATAATTGTTTTAATATGTAAGAACACTTTAAAATAGTGATAGAAAGATAATTTGATTGAAAAATTTAGCAAATTTTGCTTTAAAACGTTTCTGCTACAAGAAAGTGTAAAATGACGATGTTTGTGAAATGGTTTGCAATGTACATGTGTACATGTTTCTTTCAGTTATTCGAAACAATTAGTTGAATTTAAATTTATTTGATAAACATTTCAACTTACCGATTTATTTTCAGCACTCATTATTTATTACAAGTTAAAAAGAACCGACATAACATAAACAAAACTCTGCGAGACACTCACAAGGAAGAAGCACTGTACAAACCATTTCACAAACATCGTCATTTTACACTTTCTTGTAGCAGAAAACGTTTTAAAGCAAAATTTGCTAAATTTTTTAATCAAATCATCTCTCTATCACTATTTTAAAGTGTTCTTACATATTAAAACAATTATTTAATATTATATTTCTTAAAAAAACATTTTTTGTATAAAACAATTCAAAAATACCCACCGTGAAAATGAATTTTCACGGTCCAGAAATAATGTTCATCTGATCGAAATTTGAGGTATAAAAGCACCTTTATAAAATTCATTTCTTCTTCTTCACATGAAATTGAAATGAAAAGCACTGACGAAATAGACTGCAACAGGATCCAACGAAACTGTCATATTTGTGAATGACCCTTAAAATATCCACTTTTCACAAGTGGCACGGAGTCTGTCCAACAAGTGGCACGAACTAACGAACTTGCCACAAGTTGGACGGACTTCGTGCCACTTGTGGTACGAAACACCGCCACTTGCGTCCGAGACGCTCGTGAGCCGTACAGGCTTCCGTACATTATTGATAAAATGTATACTCGGGAAGTTTGAAGTGTCCTTTTCTTCGCATGGAAAAATAAGAACACTGCCTACTTCCCGAGTATACACTTTATGAAGGCCTTTCTCCAATAGGATCCTAAACTCTTGCGTTGCGTATGCATTGCGTCGGTTGCTATTGGCAACCAATGCTAAAATCAACGCGTCAGTCACGCAACGCAAAAGTTTAGGTTCCTATTGGTACGGAAGCGCCTACGAGTCACCAGCGAACTATCTTGTTCGCGTCACATTTTTAGCTGTGAAACCGAGGAACGCGTTCGATGGTTTCGCTGTTTCCTTGTTTTTGAGTGACGATAAAACACACTATACGGTTCGATAGTTCGATGGTTCTCTGGTTTTACTTAGTTCTATCGTTATCGAAGTCTAAATTTTGTATTAAAAAAATAAATTTAAATTTAAAAACCGAAATATAATAATATATTTAAATTATATATTTGAGATATATCAGATATCTTATAATGTGTGCCTAAAAAATTATTTTATTTAAAAATAATAGTACAAAATATTATTTTGAAGTAAGTTGATTTGTTTGCATTTTATATTTGTACTATACTATTAATATTTTGTACTATTATTTTTAAATAAAATAATTTTTTAGGCACACATTATAAGATATCTGATATATCTCAAATATATAATTTAAATATATTATTATATTTCGGTTTTTAAATTTAAATTTATTTTTTTAATACAAAATTTAGACTTCGATAACGATAGAACTAAGTAAAACCAGAGAACCATCGAACTATCGAATCGTACAGTGTGTTTTATCGTCACTCAAAAACAAGGAAACAGCGAAACCATCGAACGCGTTCCTCGGTTTCACAGCTAAAAATGTGACGCGAACAAGATAGTTCGCTGGTGACTTGTAGGCGCTTCCGTATATTGGAGAAAGGCCTTAAAAATTGTGCCAAATATCCTAATTCGGAAACGGATAAATATATCTGTACTTTTTAGTGTATACATTCCGTTCGTAAACAACTTTCGCAAAGCTATTGTGCGTTGGCCCTAATCACACCCTCACTGAAGGAGTCGATTTCGTAATCGAGTTATCTAGAAGTCGATTGAATCGATTGTTGGAAAGAATTTAAATCGACTTTCCCATCCCCTATATGGTTTAATCACCTGTCAAAAATCAGTCTCTGCATGTATATTTACATTCACTACTGCTGTGTTTTGATTCTAAATTTTGTAAATTAAGAAATTTACAATTTTTGCAAAAGGATTAAATCTCTTACCTGTACATCTAGATAGTTATTAATAATAATGGCTGATCCTAAATATGCTAATCTTCCAGGCATTGTAAGTCAGATTGTTTTTTATACTGATTTTAATGTATTTCTTTAATGTAAACTATGGCCTACTTCTCCCGGTTAACGTTTATTTGTTTTTATAATACACAGAATTGATATGTCTTATAAATAAAAATATATTTTATTCTTTATGACTGTTATGAAAATATTGTATAGGTTAAGGAGCTACAAGGATCACAGAATGTCATCTTTTCACCTTATTTTAAATTTTGTTACCAATTTTTCTAATTTTCAGCCCTCTTTAAATTTCCAGGCCTCGGATTATACGACTTTTTCGACTATTTCCGACTTCTTTCGACTTATTTTAATAAAATGCGACTATTTCGACTTTTTTTACATTTTTTAAAAAAAATTTGTAAATAAAATATATTTTTTTTTAGTATAAATTGCAGATCTTCAGATTTTCTTTATTTCAATTATTTAACAAATTTGTAACTAAAATTTTTCACTAAATTAATTATTATTACATATAATAATCGTGAATATCTTTCGTTCATTCTGTCCACACCTGAAGTTAGTATTTGTTATAGGTCTTTTGTTTTTTTTAAATGTGTTGTTTGACATTATTTTGTGTTGGTTAAAATTTTTTAATGTTTTGACATTGTCATTTGTGCGGTCGTATTTTAATTATTAAAAATTATATAATTTTTAGAATCGTGCAAAAAAATTGTGAGGATTGTGAAAAAAATTGATTCGATTGCTGTTAGAGTAAGCTGCATAAGTTGATAATTTTATCAAATTTCAAAAATTTATTTAATTAAATCACGATAATTTAATTAATTTTAAAAATAATAAAAAAAATTTTATATTATTTATTTATTTATATAATATTTATTATTTATATTATATATTACAAATTAAATTTTTTTTTTATTTTCACAAAATATTTATTTATTTTTGTTATTATAATTAAAAAAATTTATATTACCCGTGTGGAAAAAGCCACGATCTTGCCCTCAAGAGTTCGGGGCCCCCGGCGGGGGCCCATGAGGGCTGATCCATATGGCGAATCCATGAGGGGCAACGTAGGGGCCCCGCATGGATCGCCCTCATGATCGATTAGCAAAATTTTCTAAGTCCAAAATTCAAATATTTTTTCGTCAACAAAAAATGAATGTTTCCAATGATTCAAAACAACGAAAAACGCGTTTTTAATAAAAATATATTTACACTTTTTTTGAAAATTCACCTGAGATGATTCATGATAATAACACAGCCCCACAAAAAAAAAAAAGTGTCATGTACTTTTGACCGGAATACCCTAACCCTATGTATTTTGACGCGCTGAACACGAATCCGAAGTCCGTTTTGCTCCATCACGTCAGGATTTTTTTCTAACCTCAAAAAACATGTCGGATTTTGAGAAGTAGGCGATTTTTTTAAAAATTGATGTATTAACTTCAAACTTGGTATCTGGGGGTTTTTTGTGTCGCTGATTACGAATCTGAAGTTAGATTTTCAAAATTCAAAATGGCGGATCCAATATGGCGGACGAATTTTGAAAAAATTTTAAGATTTACTTCAAACTTGGTATCTGGGGGTTTTTTGGGTCGCTGATTACGAATATGATGTCAGATTTGAAAAATTCAAAATGGCATATCCAACATGGACTTCTATCGGACATATTAGATACGCCATTATCTGTATCTGGGGGTTTTTTGGGTCGCTGATTACGAATATTTTGCGGAAAAACAAAACATACGTGTCAAATTGTTTTTAAAAAACTACAAAACTGCCAAGTTTCAGAAAAATCGTCGTATGGCACTTCCCTAGTGTTACTTGTCAGCAACTTAGAAAACCTGTAGATACCAAATTTCATAATAATCTGACAATTTTTTAAAAACAATTCCTTAATATTGAATCAGACATGTCGAATTTCGGAAATCTGACATCAGATTCGTAATCAGCGACCCAAAAAACCCCTAGATACCAAGTTTGAAGTAAATCTCAAAATTTTTTCAAAATTCGTCCGCCATATTGGATCCGCCATTTTGGATTTTGAAAATCTAACTTCAGATTCGTAATCAGCGACACAAAAAACCCCCAGATACCAAGTTTGAAGTTAATACATCAATTTTTAAAAAAATCGCCTACTTCACAAAATCCGACATGTTTTTTGAGGTTAGAAAAAAATCCTGACGTGATGGAGCAAAACGGACTTCGGATTCGTGTTCAGCGCGTCAAAATACATAGGGTTAGGGTATTCCGGTCAAAAGTACATGATACTTTTTTTTTTTGTGGGGCTGTGTAATCATAAAGCATATAATTAATTATATTTTATAAATTGCATTTGATTGGAAAATATAATTTAATATCTTAACTTTAACTAAATGATGTTAAGCACTTTTCTTTGTTAGGTATTTTTTAAGTTTAAATAGCATCAAGAAGTTAGCATTCGTTTTGAAGTAGCGTGCGTAGCGTAGTTGGTAAAGCGTTAGACTCATAGTCGAGTCGACGACAGCCAGTCGGTGAACTCGGAACTATATCTATTTTCACACTGTGAAAATTGAATTTAGTTATTAATTAGATAGTGTAAAAAGAAAAATTCGGCAAGGAGGCTGGCATTCTTGAAATATTTTGTCAAGAATAGTACTAGTGCTTCTGCAGCCCTATCCAGTTTAATTAGTGATTTGTTGCTCTGATAGTTGAAAGATCATTACATAAGAAAACGTGTTCGTACTAAGTGCTGCGAGATATGAGAGTTTGCTCATTTAACAAAATTTTATTAAAAAGTGAAAAAATAACTAAACAAAAGTGGTAGTGTAGATCACAATAAAAAAGGATTAAGTGTATATGGGAGTGCATAATCAACAACCATCTCGAAATCTCTGGTAAAGGAGGAAGTGAAGTGGAAAGATTATATATATATAGAGGAAAATGGCGGCAAAACTAAATTCAACATCGTCAAAAAAGCTATCCCTACCCACGAAATCTACAAGATGCACCATAAAAAAAGATAGAGCAAAAATATCAAAAAACATTAAAGATTTATCAGCACTATCAGTGGACACAACAATATTAAAAATGATATTAAATAAGCTAGCACCTGAAAATTCGTATAAATTATCGAAACCAGCGTTAATACAATCTAAGGAAAAAGTGACGACTTTCGACCTTCAACAGGCAAAAACAATATCACTGGATACAATACCAATGGAGATGGACAATGGTGAGGAAAGACCAGCACCGAATAATATAAATAAAATATTTGAATCGACAATGCTGACAAGCAACTTGACAACGGATGACACATCCCGAAAAACAAAAACAATTGACGTATCCAACGAAATATTATTAAATGATATAGATGAAAAAAATTCCGAGTTTCACAATCAAAATAGTCAAAGAGATCGAAATAAGTTTAATGAAAAATCTGATAAAAATGGAACAATACAAATAAATAATAATATAGATAAAAATGAGGATCTGAAGCACGATCCAAGAAAAAAGGCATTAAGTGAAAACAAGAAAAATGAAACGGAATCTGCGGACGAGGATAAAGTAGAGTCACCGAGGAAGGAAAATGATAAGAAGAGAAAGAGGGAGGAGGATAATTCTATAGTGGAAGAAGAAGGGGATTTCGGAGCAACGGAGGACGCCATCGAGGAAGATTCGGTCGGAGAGGACGAAATAAACAACGTAACAGCTAAGGGTAAATTCCGCACACAACTACCACCGTTTATAGTGAAGAACAGTAAGTTAAAAACAATAGCAGAAATTTTAACTAAGGTCATTGTAATACAGAATTTTATTTTTAAAAATTTAAGCGAAAACAAACTAGCCTTATACGTAAACTCTTATAAAGATTTTAGAACGGTCTTCGATACTTTAAGAAACAATAAAATCGAATTTCATACAAAGGCTCCGAATGAAGAGAAAGTTTATACTTGGTTATTGAAGGGAATCGCAGAGGGGTTTGAGGGAGAAGATATAGAAAACGAATTAAATCAATTAAAACTGAAAAAAGTAAAAATTTTAAGTATAAAAAAAATTAATTTGAAGGATTTTTTTAAATCAGTCAGGGGGGGTTATGCATTTTTTGTAAAAATAACAGGGGAAAGTAATAACTTGGAATTAACTGCGATTAAGCGTAGAGCGAATCAAATGGTACGTTGGGAAAAAATAGTTCCAAAGAACACAATACAATGCTATAATTGTCAGCGCATCGGCCATGTTTCAAAATATTGTAGTATGAAATACCGCTGTGTTAAATGTAGCGAGGACCATAAGCCGGGAGAGTGCAAGATCCATCAGATTGGCGTTAAACAAAAAGATAGCTTATATTGCGTAAATTGTAAAAGTAAAGGCCACCCTGCGTCCTATAGAGGTTGTCCCGCGTTATTAGAATCTCAACAAAAATACGAGGAGAAAATTAATAATATAAAATTAATTAGAGAAAGAAAAATTAGACATTTGGAAAGGTTAGTAGATCCTTCAAAATCATTCGCATCAGTCGTCAAGAATATTAACAATAGTACTAATCAAAAAATTATACAAATGATACCACAAATCGAAAATCCGTTAAATTTGTTAAATAATAATAATAGTTCAGAAACACATCGAGGAATATTAAATGAGGAAATAGAAAGAGACGCATTGTATAGAGAGCCAGTTGAAAATATAACATCGAAATCCGTGTTACAAAAAGACAATAATAAGATGTTGATAGTATCGAGCGAGATTAGAGAACAAACAAAAAATATAGTAAATAATTATGATACAGAGGAGATAACAGATAATAATAAATCGTTAGCAGGAGATCTAAACGTGATCTTGGATTCGTTTATGAATCAAATGAAAATGTATATGTCCCTCCAGCTAGGCGGAGTCAAAGAGGCCATAAATAAAAATTCCAAAAGAATCGATCTATTGTTCCAGAAACTTGATAATAACAATGGCAGTAAATAATCTAGATAAAAAAATAAAAAAAAACTTTTAAATTAAATAAAATAGGAATAATTTCAATCAATGTCAATTCAATAGTGGCCA